AAGAATTTGAGGAAACCTGTTTCTGTTGCGAAAGGAATGGAGCGCCATGCCAGAAAAAAAAAAAAAAGAGAAGATAATAAGTAATTGAAGTAGATGGAAGCACAATTGTAGCCAAAAGAAAAGCACAATTGTAGCAAAAAATAATCAACCTGAAGCGTATTTTCCTTGATCTTCAAAATGCATTAATTTTTTGACAGAACTGAGAAAAAGAGATTATCTTAGCAAAATTCTAGCACTGTTTGCAACATTTGTCTCAATTTCTTCTTAATTGTCTTATATTAATATGTGCTTACATTGATTAAGAGCTTCTAGGGTTTACATTAACTGCATCCAAAGTAATTTGGTTTTTGTCCCTGGTTCCTTAGACATAACTCAGACCATCTCCTGAAAAAAAAAATCACTTTGTGATGTTTCACCTCATTGAGCTGATTCAGTCTATTATAATTCAATCTATTTTGACTACATGTTGAAGCCCCAGTTAGGGTTGTGGATTTGGAAGCTCCATGGACTTCCTGCTTGGTGATAGACATGGTTGCATAGAACACAATAGTGCCCCATTCAGGGCGTAGAAACTACACGGATACTCTGGTAGACCTGCATAGAAACTCTAGAGACCCTGCATAGAAACTCCACCTGGAGACCTCTGGTAGACTTCACCCTATGTGTCTCTTCTTTATGAAAAGTATGATTTGGTATTTTCTACTCTGTTGGTGTCAGAAAAATGGGATTTGATATATTTGTTTTCATGCCAGGCTCATTCCTGTAAAAGTCAGAGACAATGTGTCTATAGACCTGTATGAAGGGATTTCAAACAGTTCATGGGGAAATTCCATGACCTCTTTCTTCCATTTTTTCACGAACAATTTGAAACCTCTTTGTGTATTATGAAAACGCAGGTTCAAAGAAAAGGAGGCCATTTAATACCACCGTTTGATGTTGCTGTGGCCACGTCCCCCTGGCTCACGTTAAGCCTTTTCTTTCTGAGGGCAGCACACTCATCCTCACATAGGGTCACCCTTGTGCATGGCCTTGTTCAATAGCACCAAGCCTCCATGCCTACAGCTAAACATTTAGCTCAGGGATGACTGCTCACATAGTATAGGTGGTGGATCCTCTTCTTTGTCCAAAATTTGGGTCATGCTTCAGAGTCAGAAGGCTTGCCATATTACCTTAGTTCTAATTAATAATTTCCCTGAATTAATGTAAAGAGGGACTGGGCTGGCTTAGCAGATTGGTCAATCAATGGGATGGGGCAAGGTTCTGGGCAGCCAGAGGTGGCTGAGGCAGATGTTCAGAGCAGCAGGAGCCCAAACCTTGGGGATGTGAAGGTTGTCAGAATGGTTGAAACTCAGAGCCAAGGGAAATCACCAAGGTGCAAACCAGAGTGCAAACCTTTCCATCACGCCTGGGACTGGAAGTTGAGAATTATCTCAACAACTCAACTCAACTCACTACTATTGAGTCAATTCTGACTCAAAGGGACCCTATAGAAAGTAACGATAAAACACAAACAGGAGAGGCCCAAAGAAGAGGACCCAAGCACAATGTGTAGCTCTGAGGGATTGCTGTTTGTCAGCAAGACCAGACAACTAGACTCTCTGGTTTTGCTTAAGTGCAGCAGAGTGTAATGCATTAAAAACTCGAAGTGTGTGGGTCCATGAGCAATATTCGTGCCTCTAAGCAAGTGCTTCCTGTGCCATGGGAGCAGAACCGGAGGCTGCCTGGCTGCCATGATGGAAATCGGGGACCAAAGGCTGTTAAAAAATCTGACCCAAAGGGGAGAAATACATTAGATAATTTCAAATTGGGATAGAACCCAGAATTTCTACAGCCAGTAAGACTGTTGAACCCACAAAACTATTGCCAGGAGTTAAACTTTAAACCTTAATCCAAATCTATCCCCAGAAGTGTGAAGACCAAACAATAGTTTCGTTTAACTAGCAAATAGTGTAGGCTTTGTTTATGCTCTAATACAAATGATCTATCTTGGAACAAATTAACAATAGCAACTTGTGGTAGATACATAATCTGGTGTCAGCTTGTGAAGGTGTGGAGTCTAGCCTGTCAATCAGGTCGCAGCCTGATGATCTCATTTGGAAGCGCCACAGAGATAAATAACTCACTGGAGGCCAGATACACACAAACTCTCTGCTTACTCTCCGTAAGACATTCCTGTTGACATGCTACATGAAGCTACACTGATAGAGCCAGAGCCTCGGAGCTGGAGGAACCAGCGCTGAGATGCTTCCACCACCACTGGATCCATAAGACTTTCCACCCACTGGCCTGTGATCTTCCTGCATTCGGCATCATTGCATGGCTGCGTGAGTCTAAAGAGGAATTTAGATGGACTAGTATCGACATATGGGGCAATACTGGACTTACGGATTTGATCTGGACTGGGCTGGGATGTTTTCTTCATGTACAATTGCTTTTTGATATGAAAGTCTTTCTTAACAGTGTCTATGAATTTATTTCTTTAATCAACCCAGACTCACACACAACTCAAAAAATTAAATAGAAAGTTTAGGCATACGTGAGCCTATGTTAATGGAAGAGGACTCATTCAGAAAAAGGGAAGTAATAATGGTTGCACAGTTTGAAGAATGTAGTCAATGTCACAGACTGTACATGAAGAAATTGTTCAAATGGTGTATGTTTTGCTGTGTTTGTTATCAACAACAATAACAACAGAATCCATTAGCACTCATTACCATGTAGGATCATATGCACATGGACTGTTTTTCGGAATAAAGAGGAAATGAAGTGTGGAAGATCTTTTAGATGAGATCCAGAATGTTTGTTGGGAAAAGAGGTTCTAGAGAAAGTGCAAGAAAGTAAACCAAAAAGGGAAAAATTCTAAACCCAAACTCTGTAATAAAGCAAAGTGGCTCTGATGAGCTAGATTCAGATTATTCCAGATTTTAATCGAAATAACAGTAGGACATTTTACCAGCGGGGAAATTGTAAATCAGAAGAAATGAGATTAATAAACTATAATATAATCAAGAGTTCAGTTATGTTAAGTGGGTTTATAATTCTTGCGTTGCCTGAAATGAAGTTTGATTGACTGGATTTCTCAGAATCTAACACCACATTTGAGTAATTTCATTTGACCTTTTTAAGGATTATTACTTTGTGCCATTTTCTTGTTGAATTTTATCTGTAATTATATTACTCCATGTTGTGATTGCTAAGTCTCTTGGGACACTTTCAAAACCCTATCTAATTATAGTTTACCTCAACACAATAAATTTGGTTAGCCAATTCTCTTGCATTTTCATTAAATATTAATGAGGACACTTGAATAACATGATTTTAAATACAGTAAAATCTCAATGAGCAGAGATTAGATTCTTCTGGTTAATTAAATCTTATAATTAGTTGGGGGTTAATCCGACAAGCCTTTGGTTTCAATTCTTCCTGTTGATTCTCCCCCACCACCCGAGTATTTTATTTTATTTTTCTTTCTGATAGGCTCCAGAATAGTGAATTATAATTTTGAAGTACCCTGGGTTCAACTAACATTTGCTGGTTTATCCATTTGCTCAAATTCATTTGGGGACTGCCAGGGGTCCCTGGGTATTGTACTGTTAACTTCCTTAAGCTGCTAGCTGAATGTTTGATGGCTCAACTTTAGCAGTGTCTCAAGACAGAGCCCTTGCAATCGCCAAAACCCCAAACCAGACTCACTGCCATCGAGCCCATTTTGATTGCTAGCATCCCTATAGGACAGAGTAGAGCTGCTCCTGTGGGTTTCTGAGACTGTGAATCTTTATGGAAACGGAAAACCTCATCATTCGCTTAAGCAGCAGCTGGTGGTTTCGTACTGGTGACTTTGAGGTTAAAAAGCAGCCTCTGCAAAGCTTTCGCAGTTCTACTCTGACACACATGGGGTCACAATGAGATGGCGCTCCCTGTAACTGGTAAAATGGGAAGAGGCAATCATAGAAACAGTCAAGAGTTGCTCAGGGGCAATCTTTGGACATGACTTTTTGAGCAGAGCCTGATATTTTAAAATAATTGTCTTCTTATGAAACATGGCTCATAAGGGGTGGGGGGAGAAGTCTTAGTTGAGCATGCGATTCTGCTGTGCTTCATATTAATTGAGTTTCTCTGTTTCCGAATTTTGAAAGTCCTTATTATTCTGTGATAAGGCCCTTTGCCTCATTCCACCTTGATAGAATTTCCCCAATAAGGTGAGACATTCCACTTGCTACTTTTACTTAATTATGACATAGATTTTTTGCCCTGTTATTTCATCTTTAGAATTCCACCACATTTGGGGGGCATGATTTTTGGAAGACTTGCTTCAATGATCTTATTGCCACTGACATGAACCCCAGAAGTCAATGCAAACAGCCTGGATCCGATAGACAAACATCCACTTGTTCTGAATGCCAAGTCAATAAATTAGGGTTTTGTTCACTGCTCAGATGTGTTCAGTGACCGATCTGGGGAGTGTTGGGGTTTTTAGAGTATATGATTTCCCGGGGGCCTCCACATTGATTCCCCCTGTTGGCATCCAGCCTTGGCACTAGTTTTCACTGGTTCACTTCCTCTTTGCTCTGAGGACCAGAAATTGATCGCACTACGTGATTAACGTTTGTTCATTGTGTTTTGTTTCATCTTTTAAAGAAAGCTACATAAAACCCTCTATGGGAGGTTCATTGTTTCTGATCCAAATGCTTTTCTGGAAAGAGTGTGAAAAATGAATATATGAAGGTTTTGCTGTAGACGTACGTGTTGTAAAAGAGTTTCCAATCTCAGCTAACTAAAGTTATTTTAATTTGGTAGTTAGGGGGAGAATATTTACATTTCTCACAGGCATTGAGTGTTATGCATTGTACATTCCCTGGGTGTGTAGATGGTTAATGCACTCTGTTTTGAGCCAAAGAATGAAAAGTTCAAGTACACCCAAAGAGGTCTCTTGCTGCAGCACTGAGAGTTGGATCGCCCAGGAGTTCATCGCGGAGCCAAAAGCCAGGCATTGTTTCAAGAAATCGCAGACAAGCCAGACAAGGGAGAAATTGCCAGCTTCAATAAGGTCAAGCTGAAGAAAACAGAGACGCAGGAGAACACGCTGTCGACTAAAGAGATCATTGAACAGGAGACGCAGAGTGACATCTCCTAATTCTGGCGGATTCTTCCCCTCCCTCCTCTACCAGACTGATGCCGATAAAGAGCCACCGGCAAGATGGACACACGAGTGAGAAGCTGCACTGTGAACCCACCTGCTGCCAGGTCTCCAAAGGGACTGCCAAATTCTCTGGTCTGCCCTGGGATATTATAAAATTATTTGTATGATTAATGAAAATAAAACACACCTTGTGGCATTAAAAAAAAGTACAACCAGCGATACTGCAGTACATACATGTTTAAATTTACAGCTAGAGGTGCTATCGATAGAGCAACCCCAGGCATGTCTTTCCAGCACTCATTTCACTAGGCTTCTCTTTTGCAGGATCTGATGGGTGGCTCTGGTGCTGAACCCGAGGGGCTGCACCAACCATGGAGGGCTCGCGAGTGCCCTTTGTACCAGGGTCCCAGAGAGAACGAGCATCTGGCTCAGGACGCA